GATGATGGTTTCAGAACATGATGGATGTGATTAGTTTCATTACATTTTTAAAATTAATTTTACTGAATAAGTGAAAAATGTTGACAAATGCTGTATTAATGCTATGTTACTGATATTTTACAACAACAAAAAATACAGCAATGGCAAAATCAAGAACAAAAATCATACTTTTCCAATGGTTATTGCACGACATCATTGGTGTCATTGATTTCACTGGACTGTATAAGAGAAAAATGTTGAATTGGAAAATAGTGTGCTACAGATATTTCTCTCAACGATTAAAATAGATTAAAAATAGATTAATTACGCTGATGGAATTGTTTAGACTCAATTATTTAATAATCTAAAATACTTAACAACTATATACATTGATCTCACTTGATGTATACACAGTAATCAAATTAACTACTCTTTTGTAAAGAGAGTGAGTAATCAAATTAACTACTCTTTTGTAAAGAGAGTGGAGAAACTCAATATTAGCAGTCAAAACAAGATCAGGGGCCCAACAGTGGAACAAATAATTGTTTGTATGTAAATTCAACCTTTGGCTGACAAAAAGAAAAACAAGGCCAAAATACAATCTTGAGTTTACTCCACCTGAATTTAAAAACCATCTCAAGAGTGTGAGAAGACAGGAAAGACACGGTCTATGAGAAAGGCTAAAAAGATCATTTACAAAGAGAGAAGGGGGGGCTAAACGAAATTTCAGAAGAGATTTTTGAACTTACTTCTGAACATAGAGATGTTAAAGTGAAAATAAAGTAAAAAATCAGAAAGCTGAACAGGAGATTTCAAAGGGCAGCTTGAAAGAAAGTATTTTCTTGAAATGCTTTTTCTAAGTTAGAAAATGAAAAGGAAATAACATACTCAGCATTTGTCAAGATGAACCACTGAAGACAAAATTTAATTTTTTCAAGTTGCAATAGAGGACTCTATGGGGAAAATACTGAAAGACACCAGACATCAAAAGAAGATGAAAGGAATATGCAGAATCACTCTAAAAAATGAATTGGTCAACACTGCACTATTCCAGGAAGTAGTATATTATGAAGAACCAGTGGGATTACAGGAAGAAACCTAGGCTGAACTGAAGACATTGGCAAAAATGAATTTCCAGAAATTGACAAAATACAGATTGAGTTACATAGGCAAGCAGATAGATCCCTGGATGAGCTCACTATTCTGTGCTAAGACATTTAGAAGACAGACACTTGACCAACAAACTGAGAGGGATCCTTACTTATGTCAATTACCAAAAAAAGACCATCAAACACATTGTGGAAATTGTTAAACAATTTCATTGACATCATGTTGTTATTGTTGATCACCTTCGAGTTAAGCATGACTCATAGCGACCCTGTGAACAAAAGGCCTGAGGCCCCTCTACAACTATCGACATTTATCAAAGTTTATAGAGTTTCCGGAGGTATGTGATTTAGGAAGTGGATGCCACTCCTGCTTCCAAACACAAACAAAATCTTGCTGAAGAGTATTCAAAGATAACGGCAACTACCAGAAATTCAAGCTGGGCCATAGATTGAAGGGTATAATTGCTGATGCCAAATGGATCTTGGTTGAAAGCACAGAATACCAAAAAGATATTTATTTGTGTTTTATTGACTATTCACTTGATGGTGTGGATTCCAGTAAGTTATAGATAACATGGAGAGGAATGTGGTTTCAAGAACACTTACTCACCTGTTTACTTGTGCTCATATGGAACCTGTACATAGAACCAGAAATGATTCTTTGAACGGAACATGGAGAATTCTGCATGGGTTACATTTTAAAAGATGTGTCTCAGGGTCATAACCCTTCACCATGCCTATGTCATGTGTAGGCTGATCTAGTGATCTGAGATTTCCATGTTACTCACCTGTCGAGGAAAATGAAGTCTTCATGCACGCTGCACAGATGAACCTTGGGAAATGCTGGTTACTTTGTAGTTGTCTCCAACCCATAGCAATTTCATTAAATAACAGAGTGAAACATTGCTCAGTTCTGCATTGTCTCCACAACAGTGACTATGGTTCAGTCTAATGTTGAAATCACGTGTCAATTCATCTCACTGAGGGTCTTCTTTTTTCTATCCTCTATTTCACAAGAATGATGTCATTCTCTGCAGATTGATCCCTCCTTATGACATGTCTTAAGTAAGTGAGAGGGGAAAAAAAAAATCTCAGTCATCACTTGTAAGTAACATTCTGACTGTATTTATCCCAAGGTGAGCTTGTTCTTCTGGAAGTCCATTTTCAATATTGTTCATTGACACCATAGTTCAAATTTGTCAATTCATCTTTGGTGTTCCTTTTAACTGTCTAACTTTCACATATGTACAAAGTGGTTTGAAAATATCTTGACTTGGGTCAACTACTCTTTAATCCTCAAAGTGGTATCTTTGTTATTTAGCACTTTAAAGAGATCTTTTTGATCCAACAATCCCACTACTAGGTATATAACCTAAAGACATAAGAACTGTGACACAATTATGTGTACACTCAAGTGTATTGCAGCATTATTTACAATAGTGAAACAACCCAAGAGCCAATCAATAGACAGATGATGAAAGAGATTATGATGCATTCACACGTGTGAATATTACATAGCACACACACACACAAAGAAATAATTTGCAAAGCAATGCACAACATGTATAAGTCGAGGGCATAATGCTAAGTGAATTCAGTCAGTCACACAGGGACAAACATTGTATTAGACCACTGACGTAGACATGATTGGATACTATCAAAAGGCAAGGACAATTTGGTGAAGATTGCTGTAAAAACATAAAAATAATGCCAACTGCAAAAGTAGTGTGGCAAAGGGCAGGAAGGAGTTGGGACCTCATTAAACTTCACAAGGAGAGAGAGAGAGAGGGAGGGGGAGAGCGAGAGCGAGCGAGCGAGAGAGAGAGAGAGAGAGAGAGATTGACTTCTTATCAGCACCAACAGGCCAAGCCTTCTTGCTAGGAAGTGGATGGCAAAGCAACTTCCACTCTGAAATTTCTTTATCAAGTCCAACTCATAGAACACTCTACTTCTTTTCTGCTTTTAAGAATTCGTTGTCATGGCCACACAGACCTCACTCACATGTACAGTGTTTAGTAGAGAAGTAATGGGCTATGATTCAGACTTGGGAACTGCCTGGGATAGAATTCATTGTTTGGGATAGACTCTTCTCAGTTGTCCCCACAAGCTGACTTCTCTCTGGTCCTTGGCTTCTTGGCCTGGCCTTTGGCCTCATTGGGCAAACAAACATTGCAAAGCTCTTTAGCTCTGCCCCTGTATTCCCTGGAGCACCCCACTCTCACCAGTAAGCCTCAGCCTTGGTGCTCTCAGCTTTCTCACTTGGTGGGTCTGCAGGCCCAACCCTACCAAAGACTACCAGAGTCAACCGAGTAGTCAAGTGACCTTCTGCATGAAGGCTCTCAGCTGTGTCACGCCATGTATTGAAAAAGGACTACCGCCACCTTCTTCAGTGGATTAGGAGGTGCATTGTACTGCCTTGTACAAATCTCCTGGTTCTGCTGCTGTCATTTTCCTACTACTGCTTCTCACTACCTTGCACTCTCGCTGTTGTTACAATTGCTTCTCTCTCTCCCTCTCCCTCTCCCTCTCCCTCTCTCTCTCTCTCTCTCTTCTCCTGGATCAACGTACAGAGTTCCCACTACAGGGACCCCGAGTCCAGAGGACATGCTCTGTCCTTATCTCTTTTTTCTGGTAGTGAAATCCTCCCTTCTGTACCTTGGTTGCTTTAGTTTAAGTTTAACGTGTTGACAAAAAAAACCCCAACAAATGACAATCCCCTTCCCTTCCTAGAAACCTGATTTTCACAGGTCCACTCCAATAATTATGCCATGTACTTTATTTGCATTATTGGAAAGTTACCCAGTCCTCAAGATGGACTTTCAGTATCTTATTTGCACAGCCCCTTACAGTCATTTGGTGGAAGTTACAGAACCATAGCGAGAAATCAAACTCGTGTCTTGCATGAAAGCTGAGAATCCACCATTGATCCTCTACAGTCCTCATCTATAACAACATCTGTGTGTAGACACATTATATACATTTCTGCATAATGGCATAGGGATGCTTTTAGGTACATGTGAAGAGAGAGGGATATAGTAAATGGATAAAATAGAAATAATTTTTGTGGCTTTGCAGTAAATAAAAATTGTACCCACCTTGAAACTTTTCTGTAGAATTATAGAAAAATTAAATTTTAACACAAGAATAAAATAATTGCATAGTGTTTCATTTTCTAATTAAAGATATATGTCTTACCTATATTTCTATGTCAAAATGTACACATTTATTTCTTATTTAGTAATCTATTATTATTTAATTGCTCTACTAATTTCAGTATGAACGCGTTACATGTAATCAATTCCTTGTAAGTGAACATTTAGGTTGCTTTTGGTTTTTTCCTTTGCAAGTAGTGATGCAATGAATATCCTTGTGTATAAATATACTAATCTGTACTTGTAGGAATATATAGTCATATTTCCTAACTATCTACTCTTCTGATCATTTAAAAGATATGGCTGTAAATTTGCATTTTTGTATTATTATGACATTTCAGCATCTTAAAATGTTTTCACTTACTCATATGCTTCTTTTATTATTTGCTTTATTATAACTTTACTTATATTTGTCTGCGATAGTTCAGATATACCGATGTGTATGAGCTCGTTGCAAATAGATGCTTCTTTTAATTGCCTTTAATCCATTCCAATTCATGGTGGCCCCCTGTGCACCCCAAACTGTGCTCCACAAGATCGTCAAGACTGTGATCTTTCAGAAGTACACACTAGGTCTGTCTTCGGAGCCACTCCTGGGTGGGTTGGAATGACCAATTTTTCCAGTAACATTAAAGTATTTAACAGCTTGTGCCACCAGGGCTCCTCCAATATATGTTATGTGGTAAGGTTTCCGCCCCTCTTTTTCCCTAAGGTTATTTATGGTATTTGGGCTGAGAGATTTCATTTTCCAAGACCAAGCTCAAGGCAAGTGGACAGCTTTTTTCAGCACTGCATGGACCTCCTTGTTCCGGAGGCAGTAGATAATCGGGTTGCACATAGGCGTGACCACGGTGTAGATGACGGACAGCACCTTGTTGAGGTCCATGGACTTGATGCGGCTGGGACGGCAATAGATGAAGAGGGCAGCTGAGTAGAAGATGCCCACGACCACCAGGTGGGAGGCGCAGGTGGAGAACGCTTTACGGCGGGCGGCAGCTGACGGCATGCGCAGCACGGTCACTCCAATGGCTGAGTAGGAGGCCAAGGCCACCAGCAGGGTCCCGCAGAAGATGACAATGGCAGAGATGAAGTCCACCAGCTCTGTCAGGGCCACATGGGTGCAGGACAGGTTGAGCAAAGGGGAAACATCACAGAAAAACTGGTTGAGGACATTGGGGCCACAGTAGGAAAGACTAGCAATGCACGTGGTCTTGGCCACAGAGACCACAAGACCCCCAAGCCATGATGACAAAGCCAAGGCCAGGCAGACCTGGGGTCTCATGAGCAGTGGGTAGTGGAGGGGGCGGCAGATGGCCACGTAGCGGTCATAGGCCATGGAGGCCAGGAGGGTGCACTCAGTGCAGATGAGGACAATGAAGAAGAAGAGCTGGGTCATGCAGGCTGTGAAGGAAATGTGGTAGGGCCCCGTCCACAGCCCCACGAGTAAGCTGGGCATGGTCACCGACACGTAGCACATCTCCAGGCAGCTCAGGTTGCCCAGGAAGAAGTACATGGGCTTGTGGAGCTCACTGTGACTGCAGATGAGGTAGATGATGAGAGCGTTCTCCAAGAGGGTCAACAGGTAGAGGCTCAGGAAGACGGCAAACAGGACATCTCTTATCTCTGGTCTGGTGGACAAACCCAACAGGATGAACTCTTTCACTCGGGTCATGTTGGCCAACGCCAAGGAGCTCTCCATCTAAGGACAGACAGATCAAATCTGTTGACATCCTGGTTGCAGAGACATCTAGTTCAACCACCATTCATCCATTCCATTTCATCAGCCCCACACGAGTCCGAGCAGCGCTCTGTCCCATCGTGCTTTCTAGGCTGTGCCTTTTCAGAAGCAGAGCATCAGACCTTTATTGGAAGTGTCCGTGTGTGTGTGCACAGCCTTTCAGTTAGGAGCCAAGTGTGTGGACCAGTTACGCCATCAAGATACCATCTGTCTCTCACAGCACAACCTGTCTCTACAGTGAGGTGCTGCTGACAGGTGTGCAGTAAGCCAACCCCGGGCTTCTCTGGCTTCAGTGGAGGCTTCCCCCACTTCTCCACTACCTGTGTGCACTTTATTTCTTATTTCCTTCATGCTCAATTTTTTCACCTTTAAAAAGAGGATTTGACCAGCTTTGCCCTTCCTTCCTTCCTTCCTTCCT